ATAATAAATATTTGACCTAATATACATGTTTACTACTATAGTACTTGTTTCCGATCTCACACCTTACGCGCTCGACCACGTCAATTTCTTGCGGATCGAATTTATGACCGTGGTACATAACACGAATGGAAAATCATAAACAATTAATCTCTCGTCAACTATTGCGTTTTGACACGATTTATAATATTTTGGATTAATGGGAGAGGTATATATGATTATTACAATTTATTAAAATTTATATGTTATCTAGAACGTTTCCATGCCCCCATGTTTCTTGATATACGCCTGGCCTGACGCCGAGACTGCCGAGAGCCGAGAAAACATATTTCGATTGCTCGATCGGCTCGATGCTTGCTTGAGTGATAGCAAGGTTCTCTCTCGTTCTCAGCGCGCCGACAAGGCAAGCAAGAACGTAGTGCAAAAAGGACAGAGCGATATAGTCGGCACGCTTCTAACTAACCAAGTCACACGGACACGGGCTCATGCTTGTGTTGCTACCGGTTGCGCCATGCCGCCGATCGGTGGCGCTGATCGCGTGCTGCAAGCGGCCCGGAATTCGCATCACTGCTGTCCAACGCGATGCCCTCCTCAATTCTATTGGTCTTCAGAGCGCGATGTTTCTTGCGGATTGACTAGCTCGTCTTCTCAATCGCCCTCACGATTTTTTCACGCTCACTCACATCTGCCATGTTCGTCTAAGTATCGACAACGACTGGTCGCGTTACGGTATTGCTCGTTAAATCCTTTTCTGTATCGTCCATTTGTGAGCGCACTGTCTTTGTCTATCACTACGAATCCATATTTTTGTTGCCAGCAGCCGCGGCACAACGCGCAAAATTCGTCGTACGACATGTCGGTATTCACATGATCGTTGTAAACGTGTTTCAAGTTGGTACCGTCCTGTTTAAAGTCCTGCGGACTACATAATTATCGACGGCGTACTATACGTCGGTACACCCGGTCTTTACGAATTGATTTTCAAAAAAATTCCTGACGATGCCCTCTACACGGAAAACGATATGCACAAGTACAAGAGCATGCTGATGGTGACAAACGCGCACAAACACAAGTACTATTCGCAGGGTCGATATTGAGCAACAGAGGATACAAGTACAAACACGTAATCGCGCCGTTGATGTCGGTCACACTCAAGAAACAGAAGAAATCTGGAAAGGTATTATCTTACGCAATGATATTGAACGACAACGTGATTGATTACTTGCACTGGGATGATCCCAACGAGCTGGTGGATCGTCTACGCTTCTTACCGAGCAGGCAACAACGCTCACGACAACAAGATGCTGTCGATCATCGGGGAACTTCGCGAAGCTGGTTTTATTATAAATTAAATCGCATATCCATAAAACGAGTCAGTCGAGTGATATCAGCGAGAAAAATACATTATTTTCTTATACTCTGTGTATTACACGTCGAATCATGAAAAAGAAATCTGATGAAAAGAGAGAAAAAATTAGCTCCGAGAGACGTCGACTCGTCGAAGAATTGCACGCTCCGGCAAGAAGAAATTTTCCGCGAGACGCGTCATAGTCCGGGGATACGACGATCTGTGACAAGCTGATATCGTTGAGATGCGCCCGTACTCGGGCTTCAACAGAGGCTACCACTACATACTCACCGTCATCGATATGTTAAGGGCCGTACCGCTCAAGCAAAGGTGGAAGCGAGACGGCTAACGCTATCGCTGAGATCATTCGAGAGAGTGGAAGATGCCCGAAAAATTTACAAACAAATATGGGGAAAGAATTTTACAACGCCGATGTACAGAAAATCTTAAAAAAATACAACGTTTTTCACTATTCTACGTATTCGACGTTGAAAGCGTCAGTGGTCAAGCGGTTCAATCGCACGCTCAAAAACGACATGTGGAAGATGTTTACACTCAACGGCAATTACAAGTGGGTCGACGAGCTACCGCGTTTTGTGTCGTATTACAACGCATGCAAGCATCGGTATGCGAACCATCGACGTAACTTCCGCGATCGCCGAAAGACTCTTGAGCATAGTGTACAGCGCGATAAAGATCGCGGGTCCTGCAAAATTTAAAGTAGGCGATTCGGTACGCGTGAGTAAGTACAAGACAATTTTTGAGAAAGGTTACACACCAAATTGGACCACCGAGGTGATTATGATCGTTAAGGTGCAGCGTACCAATCCCGTAACTTATCTACTCGAGGGACTATCGTGGAAAAGCTGTCGCTGGAGAGTTCTACGAACACGAGTTGCATCGTGCTACTCATCCGGACGTATATCTCGTGGAGAAAGTATTGCGCAGAAGAACAGACGAGGTTTACGTAAAATGGTTGGGATTCTATGCATCGCACAATTCTTGGATAAACAGGGATAATATAGTTTAATTCATACAAACTGTATTTTCATTAAAAATGTATTTATTTTAAATATAAAAAAATATATAAAAAGTATATGAAATACATAAGATGTATAAAATGTTTATTATTTATACCTATCTTTTTCAATTTAATATAAAAAAATCTTTATTTTTTACTATAAAAAATGTAATACTATATACAATAATTATTTGGGGTTATACATTTCGATAATATAATACATTTCAATAATACAATTACATGACCTTTTTTATAAAAGTATTCGATAATGTCCCTATGATAATGTTTTGATTGAATTCGGTATAACGTATCGTTTGTCATCGTACGGACTCAGAGCGATTTTCGTCTCAGATATCGTATATAAAGGGTGTCCCAAAATTAACGCAAGATTTGAATTTGCCGTCATTTGTGCAGTAAAGTGTTGGCAACCCAAAAAAAAAA